CGGTCCTTGGAAAGCGCGGGGGGGTGCCACGCGGGGGTTAGGAATGGGGGGGGGGGGGGGGGGGGGCGTACTCATTTGTTGCTTGCCGTAGTCATTTGACCATTGACCACGCGTCCCTTTCGAGACGGAGCACCGTTCCTACACCTACTAGAGACACCACCAACATTTGGGAGCTCTTTACGTTTCTGCCACAAACTCCATAAAAATTTCTTGCACATCTTATCCCCGTCCTCTAGGGACTCTTGTGCCCACCATCTATCCCCAATTATCGCGATCGTTTTTTCGCTGTTGTCTAATTTACCAAACTTGTCCATGTCACACCCTCTCTGTCTCATTTCCTCCTCGAGATCCTCTCTTTCCTTCCTGTACAACTCACACTCCCCAACTATGTGGGGTCTACTCTCCTCCGATTTGCCACATGGACATGTGTGTCTATCCTCCTCTTCCTCTCTCCTACGGCTGGTATACCTCTTCCTCCGTTCTGGCAAGTCCAGATCGCCTACTCGAAATTGCAATTTCAGCTTTTTCGCATAGTCCATGGGGCCGTCCAAGTACTTCTTCATCCCTATCCCTTCTTTCAACTTCCCGTATATCTCCAAGTGGTCTTCGCTTCGTACCTTCTTGCGAAGGGTTGTCTCCTCCCTACTCTCTAGCATCTCCTTGACTTTCGTCTTGAACCCCCCGAACCCTTCCGTGTCCAACGTCTCCTCCTCGTCTCCTATCTCCTTCCAAACCTTCTCTACCACCTTGTCCCATCTGATTCCCTTCTTCCCTGGAGTCGCTTTTCCCCAAGCTGCCTCGTCAACCATGGCTGGTAGTCTATCGTCCGACATTCTACTTACCTTGTACTGCCACTTCAACTTCTGCATGTCTCTCTTAGGGGGGGGGGGTGCCGAGAGCAACAAAGGGGGTGCCCGTGTACGCGTTTCACCACATCCCCTGCTCTTCGTTGAAGACATGCAACGAACGCTTCCTGCTGGCAGTCACATGGTCTTTGTTGACCGAACACGGCCGGCGGCCACTCCCCGATTACTTCATGGCACGCGTGGACGACACCCCGCCATTCGCTCATTTCGTTACACCCTCGTACTGTACCTCGGCCGCAGCGGCAAACAGGCAGCGCCACTCAATCACACCATTCAATAGCAGTAGCAAGCAGCAGCAGATGTGTCCATGGCATTTCATGCGTTGCGCGTATCGCCGAGCGTAAGGCCGCTCCGCAGCATGAGAACGCCGTGTGCCATAAGAAGCATCCCATCACGCCGCACCTATCGAGTAGATATCCCGGAGCTCCGCCTTGCCGTCGAGGATGAGGTCACACAGCTTGTCGCAGATCTCTCCCACCTAACCGGCACATGACAGCGGGCGCAGGCCGTGTTGTCATTTAAAGACATGTTCAGCACGGCAACGGCACCACGGCGGCCGTACCAAGCCGCCACAACATCGACAGGAATCACCAGTACCAACGATACGCCAGCGTCGTCATCGGACGGATGATGCTGCTCGCCGACTTCTTCGTCTTGCTCCTCCACTGCTGACGAGCAGCCCAGCCCTCCGGACAAACTAGTCACACTCGATTCGAAACACCAACCGCATATGTACACATCACAGGCGCACCAGAAAAAAACGTCAACGTCGCAGTCTTGTGGCCTGGTGCCTCCACAAAAGGGCTGCCCCACCGCAAACAACAACGTGGCAAGCCCGCAAGCCAAAAGGCATCAGAGTCGTCACCACACAACTGCCGACGGGGCCTTGCGCTCACCGAAACGTGCCACTGCTGCCAGCCTGAATGGTGGCTCGGGGCCATATGAATGCGCAGATCACGGAGAGCCACGGCAGCTGCCTACAATCTACGATTGAAGATGTGTAGACACAGCGTGTAGGAACCAAGATATTTCGCCTCAAATACAAGGGCACACGAAAATTGAGCCATATTCATAGCGGTACAAGCCACGCCGCGGACCAAACAGCAGTCCACAACCGAGGAGCGCACAAAAAAGACCCCCAAAAAAAGACGCTCCAATTACCACCCCACCCCTTGCCACAACTAAAGTCAGTTTTCCACACACCCACATACCTGGGCCTCTTGAACCTTGCGCAGCAGAGCGCCAAGGCACTTGACGGCAATGGTCTGCACGTCGTTGCTGTTGTCATCCAGCTGCTTCAGCACAGCGGTACAGATACGCCTCTCCATGGTGGCGTCGATCTGCGTATCGAATCGAATTGCGCGGGGGCGGGGGGAGGTTGCCAGTGTCAAGACACTCTGCACGGTGCAGAGAATGCCGATGCGATAGGCAGGAGGCTTGTCGGTCTCATACACAGCCATTCCTAGCTTGCCGAAGACGTTGGACCCTAGGCCATCCAGACGGAGCGCCATTTTCCTGCTCATAACGGAGGCACCTCCAACACACTGGAACTCATTATCATGCTTAGGTCAAATGTTACGAACATCCCAGGTAGTTCAGCTGGTAAATCACGGCGCACGCCGCCATTGGGTAGCGTAGAAGAATAGGAGCTCTTCCAAAGCACGAACTACTAAGCATACCACCGTCAGGAACATCTGAAGAATAGACTTGCGCTCAGCAAGATCATTGGGCGAGGACACAAACAGGCGAGTCTGCGAACAAAAAAAGCCATATGGGTGTACATCGGTCGTCTCTGATAAAACCTTCAAGTCATCACCGTAGTCGCGAACAGGGGACTGGGGATGGCTCACATCGATCGGTTTCAGCACACCACACAACAACGCTGAATGCTACATGCTCAATGGAGGGATGCATTTGCTCGCACGCGAGCCAAGGTGCCCCATGAACATCATGAGCTACGCCGAGGCTTGATTGGTCCAACATTTCAGCACTCTCCCATTCAAAATCCCTGGTTTCCATGATAACTCGATGGAAGGTCGCTGTAGCTGCGATCGACGACGGTGCGTCTCGCGCACACGGCCATCGAACAAGCTCGTCCGCAATGTGAAAACATTAGTAATGTTTGGTTTCATAAGTGTTGGAAATGTTAACGTGACCAATATTCACAGAATTTATGTGATACCACACGTTCTTCATATCGCAGGCATGGTCCAGCGTAACAAAGTTGGGCGTGCCCCCCCCCCCCCCGGCTCTGGTTTATTCCGTTCGGCAACGCAACTGGCCGCGAAAAACTTGATCGAGCACGTGCATCATCATCATCACACACCTTGATATCCTTCTGCAGCTCATTGCACAGGTCGTTCGTGGCCATGTACCGCTCGTCCTTGTCCCAGTTGCTCGTCTTCTCCAGCAGGCTGTTCAACGTCGCGCTCATTCCGCCGCCGCTGTTCCCTCCTCCGGAGAGCCCAGACATGATGATATGGTCGAGGGCCGCAACCAAACAACGAAAGCTTGCTTCGGAAGCGGCAAGAAGAGGGCCAAGTCTAAATTACCCCCCCCTGTTGGTCGTCCGTGCGCTGGCTGCCGGATTCCTCTCGTCCGGTACCTTTGCTGTTGTGGTTGGTACGGGAATGCAACGAGCACAGGCCAGGGTGTCACCAAGGGTGTCGACAAGCAGCACGTATTGATAGTAATTTTGACATGTGTGCAAGGATTTGGGGCGGCGACACCGAATGGAACACCGCCGCGTGTTGTTGACGAGAGTTCACATGCTTTTGCCCCATATAATCGACACGGTGCAATCTTCGATTTTTTCCTTCGGGAGGGCGTGCCTTTGAACAGCAATCAATCGAACTAGACCGAGCGTCATCGACAAGAGAGCTTGCTTGGTTGACGTACTAACACGGCTGTGGGCGCTTTGCAGGGCACCACATGGAAAAAGAGAGCGAGCGCGCGTGCACAGGCTTGACAGAAAGGACAAGGGGCTCAGCTCACCATAGGGCCGCTAGAAAGGCAACATAGTCCGCAGCATCACACGACTGAAAAGCCAGCGGTACGATTCCCGAGTCCTACCGCATCGCTGACCACAAGGCAAGTGGCAACATACACCAGCAGAAGGCGGACGCAGGGCTGCCTGCCTGCCAAATGAATATCCAAAGATGAATCAAAATAATCTCTCTCCGCTGGTGGGTGTGGAACCAAAGACCGGGGCAGAGGATCGTACTGCTATGCACACACGATTCACGCCATGGTCCACATTCAACAGAAAACGTAGATCAACCCTCAACCCCGCCGTGCTTCACCTTGTTCCCTCTGCAGCCGAGTCTCGTATCCGCCAAGCAGTCGAGGTCGCGAGAGGCCGAACAAGCGCCCCGCAGAACCTGGAACCTTGGGGCATTTTTCCGGGAGTTCCAGCCGGATGTTGGGGTCGGGGATGCGCGAAGGCCTTGGCGTCGTCAGATTGGCGTGAAAGTGTGTGGGTTGTGGTTTAGCGAGCGCCACAGCAGCAGCGACGGGGAGCAGCAGCGCGGCAGACACACTCCAGCAGCAGCAACCATGACCAACGTGTCGAACGAGCTGGTGTGGTCCCTGGTGCGGAGGAACACCTGCTTCCTCTACAAGAGGAATGGCCAGACCAAGAGGTGAGCAAAGCTACGACGTAGGCTACGAGACCAATGATGGATGCCCTCTTTCGAGAGCCCATGTTGCACGGGGAAGCCGTCTCGTGGCCAGCAGGGAAGGGATGCCAAACAGCACCAGATTGGAGCTCTGGGAGCGGGAGGGTAATTGCTCCCAGCGAGAGATTAGCTAGGCTCAGAGCTGGGTCGTCGGGATGCGTGCCGAGGACAGCAGTGCCTCCCTCAGAGTTCTGGTGTTCGCTGCCCTCCATTTGCACCGACCGCCGTATGTTTAGGACACAGCGAGCTTGTGCATATAGGCTGGTGCCGCGGATAGAGAGCGGAGCTTCGACGCCGGTGTTGTTGTTCGTTTCTGCTGGGCAAAGTGATGCCTTCCGTCTCCAGTACAGTTTTTCCTTGTTGTTTAGATCGGGTGTGCTGTGTGCGTGGAGTCGAGCCACTCCGTAGAACGGTACGAGTGTCCCCAGCTTCTGGATCTACATTGGGCGAATACTGCCGTAGACTGGCTGGGTGTGCTCGGCAGCAGTGTGTGCCTGTGTCTCGTTTTTTGGCCCAGGCCCCCAGCTACTCCTCCCAATGGCAGTCATGCTGACCGAAAGCAGCCACTCTCCGATGAAGCCGGCAAACGATATGTCCTACACCCCCGACCGAATGTTGATGTTTCACTTACTGAGACCCAGCAGCTGTACAACTCACTACGGAGTTGATGGTACACCGATAGCAATAGGCATTGTATCCTGTCCATTCCGAGCACCTCTGTGCGGTAACCAGCCCAGTAGATTCCAAGTTGTAGCATGGTTATTGTCGCTCATGTCCGTCAGGCGAAACGAAATATTCTGGAGATAATGAAGAGCTCAGCTTTCGTCATGCTGTTGTTTTTAACTTCGAAGCACCAATTTTTGAGCCCGCTTCTGCTGAAGAACCCCGTGGGCAACAGGGAAAACCGCTGCTTGCCTGGAATGCCCGCAACATTCAACACCACAGCACTACAGTAGATACTGCGCGAGAAGCGGCGCTCTGTTGTTGGACACCGAACGTGATATATCTCTGTTTCTGGGGGATGCAATGCCCAATAACGGACATGGATTTCTTCTTGAAAAAAACGCAACTGGGAAGCTGTAGGACACCTGATCAGCACGCAGCAAGCCTTGGCAATTTTTTTTCAAGAGATTTTCTACGTGGCGTTGGTAGTTACTCGAGAGGGGAAGGGAAGTGATGATGCCCTGGCACACGCGACTTATTTTGGCGGCGCGTTTGTCGCGGGTACTTGAACCCACTCGCGAGCACGTGTCCGCCTTGCTGAAAAGCCGCGCGCCTTAGCTCTTGAGCGACGGCCGCAGTCTGATCCCTCTTCTCTCGCTTTGTCGTTTTCTCCCGGTCCCGTATTCTGGCCCATCTCCTAGACCCAAGAGTTGTCCACACCCCCATCCTCGGTTGCATTTGGCACCTTACCCACTATCCTTTCTGCGGTGCCCCTTTGATCGTGCTGACTTGCGTAGAAATACCGAGGTCTCCACTGCTCACTTGAGAAATCCCCCACTCTGCTTTCTGCGGTGCCCCCTTGATCGTGCTGATGTGTGTAGGAATCCTGAGGTCGCTACGGCTCACTTGAGAAATCCCGTCTTTGTTTCGACCGTGACAAATCGACGACAATGATTGCGAACAGGTCCGGCAAGGTCGTTCTGACGGCCGAGCCCAACAACTTGACGAACGTCAACTCGTACAAGTGCTCCGGCCTGGCCAACAGCAAGGCCGTCGGCATCCAGTTCGCCAAGGACGCTAAGGACCGCCCGTGCGCCGCCATGACCCTGAAGGTGCGTGTGCCCCAACCCCTACTCTCGCCTTGTACCCCACGAAAAGTTGTGCTGCGCCTAAGGGCACATCGATGATCGAGTGTGAGTGTTGGCGCGCACTGGCGGCTACTGTGGTGCCCGTGCTCACGGACGAATCGTCGGCGCTCGCGTGTCACTTCTTGTAAGCTGCGTGCTACACCCACACACGTGGATGGTTCAGGTTTAGGCTTTGCCCCCGCATGGCCCTGAATAGCGCTAGCGTGTGATTTATCACACCAGGCGGAGAACACAAAACAAACATTGATTGTTGTGGTTAGTGTTTGCGTGCCATATGCTTTGCACAGTAAGCCTAGGCAAGCAGTGCCAGCACGCAAAACACAAGGATGGTGTTCATTCCAAGGTGTGTGGGCACAGCGCAGTACAGCACCCAACTTGGATTTTACCCCCATGACCGTTCCACAGGCAATGCAGGCGTTACCGTTGAATTCACAAGTATGCACATCCGCCATGGCTCCGAAATGGAAAGCATGTGACCCTAGGGTCCATCGTTTCAATCATTAGGTTGCCATTTGCCTTCGTTCTTTTTTTTTTGTCGGTGGACATTTCAGTACATGCGCTTACATGCGCACCAGAGCCGGGACGCGAACGCGTGGTTTACACAGGCCGCGGCATCGCTCCCTTGCCTTTTAGCGCGCTCAGGGAGTCTTTGTCGTTCCGCAGATCTTCCCCACTCCGGTGGTGGCGGATCGGGTTCGGCAAAACTCTCGTTTCGTGAGGTCCAAGCGCGGCGGAAAGCTCTAGATCAAACCCCAGACTTGCACGCGTCGAGAACGCTGTCGGGTTCGTCCTGACGCGGCTCCGCACCGCACTGGCTCTATATTCCCATCCTTGGGCGATGCTGTCTCCCGCCAAAGTTCGAAAATCCGCCTTTTCCGAGAGGAGGGCTTGAGAACTGCTGGGCGGGGGGCAGCGATTACGTGTCGGGGAATAACCATAGAGCACACATTCTCGTTCCTTTCGTCCTTTTTTTTTTCTTGTGTTGAACGACGGTTACCCGTGTACCCTCCCGCAGGAGAGCCTACTGGTATGCATGCATTCGCGTTGCGGCCAACGTACGATAACGCACCTTGTTTGTATCGGTTGTGTCATGAAATACCGGTAGTACCCGATGTTGCTCGTCTGCCACTCGTCTGCAGAGCTCTGCCGCATCGTTTTTTATGAACCTTGGTTGGCTGACCGCAACTACTCCTGTCGTTGTGTGAAGGTTTGCAAGGCGGCAATTTCACCCTTTTCTCCCCAAAGCTGGACTGCAGACAATTTTACATGTAGACTTGTGCTGTACTCGGTGTTTTCCCACCACGGCATCGGGTGGCACCGTGAACCGACTGAAAACGCTGTCTAGCTTCTGGCGGAAGGATCATTTTTTCCACGCCGTGTCCCATGCGATGGGGTTTTTTTAGGACATTCCGCCACTTGCTGTGTCGTTTTTCATCAAATGTTACGGCGTTGGCGTCGTTTCGTCAGGTATGGGCCTGTGTGCCAACATTGCTGCACGTTGTGCGGTTTTACGCCTGAAATTTGCTGCCACCTCACCACTTTATCGCGTACACCATGAGTGTGGCCTCGCAGGGTCGTTTTGCCATCCTTTTCACCGACCTCCCCCCCCCGGTGCCGTCCCCCTCCTCCCTCTTGATCCTCTTGATGCTCTTCGCGCATCATGACACGTCATTGTCACCTCCCCTCGATGCATTACACATGACCCGTAGTCGTCCAAGAACGGCAGCAAGCCCAAGAAGTCGGTCGGCAGGTCTTTGCTGAAGAAGACCCACCCTAGCGTGTCCCAGGCCATCATGAAGCAGGTACGCGCGTTGTGGTGGAAGTAGCGATGGGCACAACGTCCCACAGCTCCGCAGCAATGCGAACCCCAGAGCGTAGCTGCAGCTTATTTCCCGGACACGTGTTTCCTTCGCTTTCGCTTCCGTTCCCCTCGTACCCGACGTCACAACGCTGGGAATTGCTGTTGCCGGTACCGCTGGTTCAACCGCTCTTTTTTACCGCCCACGTACCGCCGCCTGCCGCCTGTCCGTTCCAGACCGGCGGCACCAACTACCGGCCTGACCTCCAGCACGCGGCGCTTGTCCGCTGGTCGAAGGTGCACCGTGCGCTCCGCGTACAGAAGGGCGAGAGGAAGCCCATGACCGTGAACGCCGGCCGCAAGAACCTCAAGGCCACCGCCTAAGTTTTCGTTCGCCACCGCTGATGTTGATGCTGATGCTGATGCCACTATCACACCTCACCTGGTCGGCTAGCGAGTAAGACGTCGCCGCCGAATTCGTCGGTGCTCTTCTTTGCGGCCTGCCAAGCTTTTCGAACGGCGTCGGACATGGGGATCGGACACGTTGCCCCTATTGGTGGAAAGCTTTGCACTCTGTGCTTCGATTTGTTGGTTGGCTTACGCTAGAAGAGTTGTTTGGTGCGGTCGATGGCGCAGAAAGCTTTTTAGCCAGTCTGGATCACATCGTTTCGGATGAGTTTCGTGCGTGATGTCTCTCGGTGGCTGAAATAAAAACCCGTTGCTGCGAATTTCGATCTTTGGAAGCGCTCTCTTGTATTTATGTGCACTCGGTATGAGACGGATGTACCCGTGAAGCCAGTCAGTGCTGGTGCCCACGCCCACGGCTGGACCGAGCGCCCGCGGTCGTGGTGTGCTGTGCACAAGGAGGGAGAAAAGGCAGACGTTTCCGTCCGGTGTTTTGCGCTGAACCGGAGTCGACTTGACTCCATTCTCTGCACCGCCGATCTCCTTTGATAAGACGAGGCAGGCCGAGCACATGCGGTGCCTTGAACAAGATGTTGCTCGTAAGCAGCAACTACGGTACTCTCGTTGTGTGCACAGTTTTCTGATAGCGGTGGATGGGACTGCACAGCAGTTGCAGCACTTCTTCGGGTATTACAGAAAACCGCGATCTCAACACGAGTAAGTAAGTTTTTGGGGGAAGAATCGGGTCGCGAGGTCCTTAGCCCGTGGTCTTGCCCGTTGCCGTTTTCAGGCCACCTGTCGAAGCGTCACTGTACTCGTGACTCACTCGAGCATCTCAACTAGTTCTGCGTGAAGTCAGATGGAATCGATCAAGCCCTTCCCTCATGCTCGTATCTGCTCGAACGGCATGTTCCCTTCTCTAGTCTACCAATCAATCCGCACAACAGCAGCTGTCAGTCAAGGATCGGGTCCTTCGCACCGACACAAGGACGGATCGGCGGTTCCTCTTCGGAACTGATAATCCAAGGCCTGTGCACCAACTCTACGAATGGAGGCATCCTCTCGTTGCCATCCAAGTTGTGCACGTGGCAACACAGATACACATAATACAACAGATTCAAGAGATGGGGCTGGATCTGGTTCTGATACCCGACCCCGCTCCCCGGTCTGAACTGAACCCAAACGCCGTACAGCCGCATCCCGTCTCCCCGGTGTCGAGACAACAAGGGGCACAAGCGCATGTGGTGCGTGCCGTGCATAGCTCAGCAGGTTCTTGAACAACGGGGAAAGAGTTGTCTCCTGCTGCTCGTGTAGTTGCGACCTTGTTCCGGCGAACCTCATTTTGAACACAGCAGTCAAGCAAAACTGCTGTACTCCGCGCCCGGCTGGGGCGTGGTCTCATCTGCCTGCCGTACCATCTATTGCGGCGGGAATTCGGCACACAGCAGTCGCGGAGCAACACCAAACACGTCCTGCCAAGGGACATCATGGCCTCGCAACATTACCCTCGCCGAAGAATAACGATAACCGGCTGCGTGCTGGTGGGGTTGGGGTTTGCGTTGCTGCGGCTGCCTCTCGACCAGAAATCCTACGCGAAAGAGTCGGCCAAGTTTCTTCGCAAAGACCCGAAGGGAAAGCGAGAGACGCCGCGGGGGGGAATGGTCCGCTTAAGCGAGCTAAAGTCGATACCCGTCAACCACGACGGCAGTGGAGCCAAGAAACAGGTGCGCGCCAACGGTGAAACGTGTTGTTGTTGTGGTTGTTGTTGTTGCTGTTGTCTTCACTTACCGATCTCTCTATCTAGTACCTCCATCGGTCCGCACAGCAGCACAGAGCACAACAGCAGCTGCTGTTTTTATTATAGGAGTCTCAACACTTGACGCGGGTCGATTCCCGTGGTCACAGGTTAGCTTACCCAAAAAAAGGTACACTCAAAAAATGGATTGGAGGGCCCGAAAGTCAATAGAAATCAGCGGCAGAACCCTCCGCTCGCCTCGACACGTAATGCGAGGTAAACAAAGACTACAGCAGTAGAAGTCAACATCACGGTTCAGAGGGAGGGTATGCATATTCCCTGGTTCAATCTTGAGACGGCCATCTGGAAAATAAAGAAAAAGAAATAGACCAGACACATCCCAACCACTACTGCCTGCAACACGACCGCACAAACAAACAAAACAAAGGGCCAGCAGAAACAGCAAAGGCACGTCATCGCTGATGGGTTTGAACACAGTGTGAGAGGTGGTGGACGTATCTGGTCCGTGCTGTGTTGTTCGTCTTACGTGATGACTTGCCACATTCGGTGAACATCTGTCGGTGGCTTCTGCCTAGACTATTGCGGCGGCGTTCACGATGGGTGCGGTGTGTTTGCGTGTGTGCTACTCGCCGAGCTGTGCGCAGCATGTACAGCTGTGCACCCCTAGTTCTTTCCTTGTCGGGCATGTGACTCTGGCCTACCAGAAAAGGCTGATCCCTTAATATAAATAGGGCGTAGTCATCTAATGCTGGCTCGCCCAACACTTCGTCAGTTGGCGCTGCATCGTGCGATTGCGAGATTTCATCTGTCTACTTGCATTCATACTGCTTCCTCTCTCCTCTCGTCTCCCTCTCTCGTTTTCGTCTCTCGCATGTCTTGCCCACTGCCCTCCGCCAGCCCTCCCCGCGCGCTTGCGAATCATCGCAACTGCCGATGAGACTTGGACTACAGCCACCTATGAGCGACCATGATTCTCATCGACCGAGTGCAGCAGCTGGCCGGGTTTTACTTTGCCCGCAAGCCCCCTCTCTTCCAGCCGTTCCTTGTGTCTACCACAGCAGCCTCTCTTGCTTACCTAAAGACTCCTCTGCCCTCCCTCTCCCCTTCTCCCTTGCCTCTCTACATCCCAACCGAACGAAACCGGAACGCGTAGACGATGATCCTCAACGGCCAGGTGCCGCACTTGACGGGGTTCACCCGGGCCGTCTTCTCGCCGGGGGACGAGGTCGAGCTCCACTGGCATACCAGCATGGATGAGGTGTTCTACGCGGCGGAGGGAAAGGGCACGATCGAAGTGGACGGCACGGTTGTGCAGGTGGCCTATAGTCGTCGTTGATGGGTAGCCCCCGCCCGTTCCATCCCTATGCCCTTGCCAACAAGGGGGGCTGTTTCTATTCAGCAACGAACACAAGGACGTTGGACAGTGTTGCATGGGAGTGTCCGACTGTGCACTTGTGTCGGAGACGGGTGAGACCTGCAAAGACCGCAAGAGCTCACACCCACAGGTGCATGTCGGGAGGGATTTGCTCACACGTCCTGTAGGGCACATCAGATCCCTACAGGTCAAGCTAGCTATTTTAGTGATCAGTGGATGCACGTGATCCGCATGTATTCGCCCCTTGGCGACCCATTTAGCGCGAAGAGCTACTTCTGTTTGGATGCCCTCTGGTCTCTTGTGGGTTGCGTAGTCTTCATTGGTCAATGGGAACCAGTTGATGGCCCAGATGAACAAAACATATATAGAAAATATTCGCAACTGAAATGTAGACTTTTGTGACTGTTTGGGCTGGTATCGTTCGGGCGAGCACTGCACTGGTACTAGGTGACGTGCTAAATATTAAACCAAACAGGATGGCTGGTGATTCATCTACAATCGTTAACGATAGTCACCAAATCCACGAAACTTCATCGTTCTCCACGGAGCTTAACGTGATGTGTGTGTGCATTTGCCCGATGAACATAACCCTACTGAATATTGGTCACTTGATTACCGCAGCGCACGCAGTATTTCTTCTTGCGTGTCTGTGTAGCCCAGCATTGGATCAAGCGGGGTTGGGTCGATCTCGATCTTGAGTAGAGAGTGAAGCAACATTCAAAGTGCAAGGCCGAGTGCAACAAGATATGTCACCGTTCGCACGCGCACGCACATGGCGCTACCAGCTACGCATGCTCAAGGCTGATCTGTCGGGCGCGGGTCGTTGGGTTTGCCCGAAGGTGTTGGCATGGGCGGACCATTTGGTACATGCTTGCCCAAGAGTCATCGATAGGCGCGGGTCACGCGTACATGCTTGCCTCAGAGTGATCGGTAGCCGCGGGGCTTCCATGCCAGTTTGCCAAAGTATGGATGCGTCGGCAATCATCTGCACGCACGTTTTTTATCCCGGGGTGCTCCCTCGGGCGCGGGTACACTCGCTCCTTTTGTCTGCTGCATATGTGTTGTCTGTCTCCTCGCACACGCTCGCTTCTGCTCCCTGATGTTGACGACGCTCTTGTTCTGTCTCCCCTTGTCAACGCTGGAAACGAAACAGCTGACTCCCGGCACGTGCGTGCACGTGGCGGCCGGGCAGAAGCACTCCTTGATAAATAAAGGCGACGTCGACATGGTCCTCTTTTACTTCGGTATCGCGGTGGCGCCCGCCACAGAAGAGGGCGGCGGCGGCGGCGGGGGGGGGGGCAAGGGCGGGACCGGGGGCGGGGGCGGGGGCGGGGGCGGGGGGAATGCCTTGCACGCGATAGGGGCATGATTTTTTCTCGCCTGTGTCGAGGATGGATGGATTGTACAATTTGGTGGGCAAGATTGTCTTGGGTTGGAGTGTGGGTGGAAAGTGGCGTGATTGTGTCCGGCGTAGTCCTGTAGGTTTGGAGTGGTGTGTAATTTGTAATTTGTAATTTGGGTGTTCGGAGTTACGTCGGCGAGGTTTGTATTGTGAGGTTTAATTTCACGAACCCAAATGACAAAGCCTGTGAACACAGAAAGAGTCCACATCTAGGCGTTCAGTTTTGCCTTTTTTCTTGTGCCTTGCCTTCCAGGCCCGATGGTTGCTTCTACATGTATCCGTGTTGAGATGTATGGCATTTACAGAGTAACATCTGAATAGGTTTGTGTGTGCCGCTGCACCGGGGTAGAAGCCACCATTCCCGGGTCAATCGCCCGTGAGCGACAGCAGCTGTTGGACGTGTGCTTACATGTTTTGCTTACATGGGGGCCATATTTTATCTCGTGATTCAAGCTGCATTGGACTGCCGTTACACGTGCGCACAGCGCATCGCAAACACGGACAGAGGATTCGAGGACTCTGCACGGGACAATGTGCATACGATTGTAGCATTCAATAGCTTTAGCGAGAGCTCTCGAAATCGACTAGAACTTTACGCCGCTGTGAGAATCCTGCGATCATTTCTCTCGTGCGGGACGGGCTTGGGTCTCGTCGGTGTGAACGCTACCTCTCTCCGTACAAGCTCTGGTTCATCGCAACCAGGTGGTTAGGACATGGCCACATCATCCTGGTAAGGAGGACATGGCCACATGTGGCGCGGGGTGGGCTGCTTGCTCTCCAAAACCTTGTGCACTTTTCGTTCGGCCTCCGTCGTCACCACCGTCGAACGTGTACCGAACTGCTTTTCGTTAGCCGCAGCTTGCACGCCCCGCTCCGATGTACGCAAGTTCGTTCTCTAGGGCTCTGTCGCTCGATCGAAACCGCAAACAAAAATTACGCAACACCAGCTCTAGTGCCACCACCCATTTTTTTTAACAATTCCTTCCCACACGATACAACCCGTGCACTCACCACTGCAGAGCAAGGCCTGGCTATGCTCTGGCGTACTAATACAGAAAGTCCAGGGGGAAAGGAAAGAATCCCCACTCGAAACGATTTATTACAGGGCAAAATTTCAATCTCGCACGACGGGCCGATCACCGCTACTACTTGACGCCCTGGGCGCGTCATCTCCGCTACCGCTGCCACCGGAAAGGGCCTTGTCTCTGCCTTCGTAGCCGGTCCCGTCGTAGCGCTCGTCGTCGTCATCATCGTCATCGTCGTCGTCGTCGTCCTTGTTCATGCCACTCCCGCCTAGCAGGGTGTTGAAACCGTCGTCTTCGGGGCTAAGCGCCGCCCATGTGAAGAGGACCACGATGAAAACGCCGGCAGCGTAGTTGTACCTTGGTGCGATGGGTGGGCGAGGAAACAGAACATGTGGTTTGGAACACGTTCTGTTAGTGGACGTGCGTGTGATTCATCCGTGGGCCTGGCTCAGTCCAAAGACTTCCGCCGATTCATCTGATTGATTAGCTTGATTGACCTTGACTTGGTTGATTGTTTTCTGCACCATAGGGGGGCTTGACTGACGGTGCTAGAGTATACCGCAGAGTAAGCATAGAAGCATAGGAACTACCAGTAACACACGTCCGAGTCAGTTTGACCGGCACGTACGTAAAAATATACTGAGCAGAGACCGGGACGGTATACTAATGTGAAGACAACAACTAACAACGACAACAACAACAAAAAACACATGAGAAACGTCAGGCTGCCGGTCACATGCGAGTAGTTCGTATCAGCTCTTAAGGTAACAGCAGTCTGCGACGAGCAAGGCCTTCTTTGCAATGTGACAATACATTGTGTAGCAATCGTGGAAGTCCGGAGTGGTATTCGGCTAAGGCTGCAAGTCCTGCAATATCTACTGTAATACCTTGGTACCATGAAGAAGCGGATCGTAGCACCTACCGCAATCGTGGCACAGCGAACCCGGCCTTTCGCCTGGTCAGATATTTCGTGGAAGGGCTACTTGCTGCTCTAGCACCCAATCTTGAGGATGCTTGCGAACTCTTGATTGTTTCATGGAAAATAAATAGGTTCATCGCGGCCATGCGGAGCCAGATGTAAACAGAGATAGACGATGACCAGATTTTCCATTTCGGGCCTTGCTTACTCTGAGAGGTATCGCCATGACCACCACACGATCATGACTTTCGTGGCGGAATTAGGAGCAGCAGAGCGGCAACACAAGGCAGCCTTTTCAAATTTGCGTTGGGTTGAAGATTTTGCCGCATTCTGTATGTAAATTTACCTGAGGTCCATCGGCGGCATCGGAGGCGTCTGGGGGGGCGTGTGCGTCACGCGAAGGTTGCGTCTGCTCACGAGACCACCCAAGCTCCCTACCGGTCCATCTATCGGAGGTGCTGCTGCTAATGGTGTTAATGCTGATATTGTCGGTGATGGTGTCACGGTTGGTCGAAGCGCCTGCTGTAGAGCGGCGGCGGTGGTGAGATATTCGGCGGCAGCGCGCGACGCGGGGGAGGCGGGGGTTGAGTGGTTGCTGCCGTTCGTCCAATGGTGAAGAAGGGCAGCCGTAGCAACCAGGGGTGGGTTGTGTCGTCCTGCAGACGTGACACAAACACGAAGCCATTACCACTCATATAGACCGTGTGTTATTCGCAGTTGGAACAGTCCGAGATGACAAGTATAGCTGTTGCAGCCAAATAGCGCGAGGTTTTCGCGGATGCACTAATACTGGCATGTAGATGAATACTGGTACACTGCTGCTACATCCAGCAGAGGCGGATACTACTAATTCAGAGTGGTAAACTTGAAGGTAATTCACTTCATGTAAATCGCGCCGGAAAGATTAGTTCGTGCACCACTCTCTGGCAACGAACGTTGACCGCCGCGCCCATGCACGGGAGGCCGTGCACACTTGCAGAAAAATAAGTGTTGCTTGGACAGCATTAGACTATTATACAGCACGGCGGTACATAGATAGGTACAATTGTAGACAGCAGACAATACATTGGTGGCATGGAGATACATTGGTGGCGTAGAGGAGCCCCACATAATCGAAGCACGCCGGAACAGCGTTCAGCCAGCAATTCCAATGCTGCGCCAATCAGTCAGCGCTGACTCCGCTCGGTACGCTATGCTTATGCACAGGACGCAATGCGACCCTCAGCGACTTCAAACCAATCGCACTTGCTGCTTCTCGCAGCAGCAGCTACGATTGCGCACCTGGTTCATTGCGAATCTGATTCGCCTGGTCAGGCATGATCTGATGAGGGTCATGGAGGCGGTACCGAAGAGAACAGCAGGCAAAGCGTTGAGGTCACGCGTGGTGTGACGGCAGCAGACAGCAGTCTCATCCCAGACGCGCAGACGCGGGAGGACAGGGATGCTTGGAGAGGGTTTGCATCCGTTTCTCCGAAGAGGCGTTTTGGCGGTCTATTCGGCAGCAATCTCCGTCAGCTAAAGGGATGCGTCATCTTTCTTGTCATCTCGTCTTTTCGCACTTAGCCAGAACGACACACACTCACAAGCTTCCGACGTTCCCTTTCCCCCCGACCACCCAAAGCACCAACGCAAAGAGACACCACAAGCTTGTAGCCATGGGCGGCATCAAGAGGAGCCTGCTGGCCGCGGGGCTTCTGGCCACCACCTCCACCAAGACCACCTCCGCTTACCTCTTCCCGACGCCGTCAGGAGCAGGGCTCTCGAGCGTGCCCACCTCGAGGAACATCGAGGACAGAAAAAGCAGCGTGTGCCGCCGGCACGGCTCCCCCTCCCCCCGGATGTCGACGATGTCTCCCGCGGCGGAGGGCACCGAGGCGTCCGCGGCAACACAAGCGAGAGGGGCTGCTGACCTCGTCAGCAGCGCCAGCGGGGCGCAGCTTGCCTCGTCCTTGATTTTCCCCAGCATTACCAGGCAGCCGCGGCCCGGCATAATTGCGCGCGATGGCACGGAGGACTTGGGCATGAGAGAGAGAGACGACGGCAAAAGCCCCGACTTTGAGGTGAACCTGGGCAAGGTGATCTCCACGCTGAGGGAGGACTACCCGCGGATATTCTTCGACCCCCCCGCGTTCGACATCTTTACCGAGGAGATCGAGCTGCGCGATCCGGTAAGGAGAAAGGCGTGTTTTAGTGTTGAGCCCACTCTTTTATCAGCATATAGACCCTTCGGAAACAATCCCCTTGCTGTTGTTGAGGCCTCACTGCTGTTCCCCCATCAACGACGTGGTGGTGGTCTTTCGCTAGGGTAGTAGTAGCCTGCTCGTGATGCCCAGCCGTGTTCTATAGAATACAGAGAGAGATAGAGTTCCGTCGACGTTTATCTTGATTTTCTAGGGCTGTCCTTCAAGTACGTTGCGCTCTGATCGAGAATCATTGTACTTCTAGGCGGCTGCTGTCTGACTGGGTAGGGTACAGTTAGAACGCTCACTCTCCGGCTTGCAGTGTGGCACGCGGCACACAGCTGATGGGTGGCTGAGTGCGGGGTGTATGATAAGCAGGATTGTGGGCTGGTTCGTGAAGGGCATATTTTATATTTTATTTGCTCTGGACTCTGGACAACGTGCGACCATATACGTACGTTATTAGTATTGTATACAAGCAGTCAAGCTATGTACGCGCACCAGTCGAACGAACAGGAATTTTGAATTTTGCCGAAATTCTCGTTTGGTACATTTGACGCCTCGTTTTATTTAATAATGTTTCGGGAGCCTCGTTTTCGGATTCGACTTACGCTGTCCGTGCCGTTGTCGTAAGGTGGGGGGACAGACTACAATAGGTCATAATTGAAGGACACACTGCTGTGCCGTTTATGAGTCAGTCATGGAAGTGGAAGTGTGTACGGTTTGCCGTGGTCGTGCACTTGCAACAACGGTCCAGCATTTTTGTCTTGCCGTGCCACTCTCGACGCTGCGATGCATAAATCCCGAGAGTTTTGCCCGTTCGTCGCACGCCCGCCTTTAGCTGACCCCCTTTTTCCCGATCGCAAAATCGTACCAACAGACGGGCGTGGCGTTCCGAGGCATCTCGAACTACAAGCGAGTGTTCGCGACGCTCCGGTTCTTCCGGCAGACGTTCATGAACGACGCGACCACCACCTTCCGCCTCACCTACGACTGGAGCAAGCAGCAGGTGCGCGTGACGTGGAACGTGGTGCTCCAGCTCAAGGCCCGGCAGCGGCCCATCTACGTCGACGGCATCTCCGCCTACCACATCAACAGCGACGGCCTCGCCTACCGCCACGACCTGGAAACGGTGGTCGTCAACGGACGCGCCGTCGAGCCCCCGTTCGCCTACGCGTGGATCAACCTTCCCGCCTGGGTCTCCCGCGGGGCGGTGGCCAAGCCGGCGGGCGCGGGCGCGGCACTACCTACCCCCCACGCGGTGGTCGGCGGGGCCCCCACGCAGCTGTTCGAGCAGCAGCAACAGGGTGAGGCGGACGACGCCGCTGTCGGCGCCATGTTCGACGCCGCCAGGACGGACTCCGAGCTCCGCGGGGACTACATGCAGGCGCTCTCGACGGTGCTGATGATGGACACGGACGGGGTAGCGGAGAGCGGCGGCGGCGAGGGCGCCGCCGCCGGTGCGACGCCGGACGGCGACGGGAGCGGCGAGGACGGGGCAGCAGCCGCCGCCGCCGCCGCCGCCGCTAACCAGAAGAGGGCGAGGGCGGAGAAGGAGAAGAAGAACAACGCGGGCGGGTGGTTCGGCTCCAAGGGGGCGGAACTCGCGTGCGAGACGTCCTGGGACTGCACAGGCGGCATGGTCTGCTGCGACTTCGTCCTCCTCAAGGTGTGCTGCAGCAACGGCATCCGGCAGCCCAAGTTCGGCGAGCTCATCCCGAGCCTGGTGCCTATCCCCGGCAGGGGCAGGAACGAGAACGACAACCCAAAGAGGATTCCGCCCGCCGGAGGTCGATCGCGGCCGCCTCAACGACCGGGAACTTGGTGATTATTTCGTGTGTTTATCGGGGAGAACAGGCGGCGCTTGCGGAGCTGGTACTAGCAGAAAGGTGGTCGACGGAATTAAAATCGAATGATGTGCAAGAAGAAGGTTTACCACCGTCTGGGCGTATGTTGTGAGAAAAGAGGGTGCGTTGCAGGCTACCTTACTCGCAGGAGGGTGTTGTTCGAGTTTCACGAGTGTGCGGCAGAACGAATTAATAATTTTGCGGCAGGGAGAGGTGAGGGCAAAAGCGAATGTGGCGTTGTTGCAGAATATCACACGGGTACCTGTGATTTTGTTTGGGGGGTAAGAGAGAAGTGGAATGGAGAAAAACAAGACGAATTTGACCGGTCGCGTGTTGTTGGCGAAAGTGCCATCTGCATCATGTAAGAGAGAGCGAGAGATAGAGGTGTCCCAGTCCGCGTTTTGAATGACATGACCGCCGCGTTCATTTTTTGCATCGTGTGTGTTTGTGTGTGTTTGCAGTCCCTTGTATTTGTTGTATGTGATGTCATGGCGCATGAGCGCAGGCGGCTTCTGGAGGGTTGGCGTCGTGCCATGAGGAACAGGCAGTTCATGATTTGTACTTGAAGCCCAAATGATTGCTCCCGAACTAGACGCAAAATATGGTGTCGGCAGAGGTACTATTTCTCTGCTGGTGGTTTGGAAGGCTTCTCGGGGGCTGTGCGTGTGACGCGCGATGCTGCGCGAGCACGTATAGGGGGAGGGGGGGTGGGGGGGTTAGAGGGGCGGGGAGGAGGGCAGATGTGAGAAAACGCGCGACGACCAGGCGCGCTTTTTGGGACGCTGTTGAATGTTGTGGATGTTTTGTTGTCTTGTCTACACTTGCAGCACGATTTGTAAATGGACTGACTGAGTAGATGTAGGTTTTTGTGGTAATATTGTGCGGGGAGCATGATCGCCGCGTCTAGTAACAGGCCATTGTGGACATGTGAAACGCGAGTGACGGGTCGCCTTTGAAGCAAATGTGAACCCGCTCTCGCGTCGCGGGGGTAAAAATTTGGAGATGTTGTAGGTCACGGGGTGGAAGGGCTCCTGGTGATGGGATTGATCATGAGTCATTCTCTTGTCTCGTGGTGAAGGTCGCGATACGGTCTGGAGGTGTTGGTGTTACACACACGCCGTGAGGGTTTCCGAAGAAGAAAGTACCCGATGATAACTCGCACAGCGAGAGGGAGGCGCGCGGCTCTCACCGCCTCGGCATATTTCGCCGCGCTTTGTTCACACTTTTTCGGGCAGGCGTTTTTCTGTGCGGTATATATGTGAGGTCTGTAACCTCTTGGCCGTGAACGTGTGTTTTTTCGCTCGGCCTGTTCGAAAAAGTCCCTCCGAAATTGGGTTCCTTTCGCCAGTTCAAATGAGTTGACTGGGACGTACGTTATCATCGACCACACACCAAAAGCATCACCGTCAAGCTCAATGTCTCCCGCATGAGACACGCGTAAACCGCTCCCTACGCGTCGAACACATTTCAATTCCTTTTCCTCCCTGAAAACCTAGGGCTCGCCGACTCGCTTCTATGCGGCGGCCGGATGATTCGCCACGTCCGTATTTTTATGGTGTGGAGGGATCAGACGAACAGCGAGTCCAGTCGGAAGTGACGGCCATATTCATTCCTCGATCGCACGGAAAAGAAACAAACCCGTGTGCTTAGGCTCAGGTGGAAGGAAGCCCCCAGACACTGTTGTGGGGAAGACAAATTGAGAACGATTTGATGCCGATCGTCTCCAGGTCATTGTTGGCGACTCTCGAAGAGAAATGAACGTTCCTCACAACGAGGGCACGTCAAACTATTACAACTATTTATTAGTAGGAGATCAAGAGAGGCCCCTTTGCAAGGTTGTGATCCACTCGTCCAGAGCACCGTGCTAAAGCGGCGATTTTCGTTGATGGTTCGTCGGTAGCCAACTCTGTGTCTTTTACTAATTCATCCTCACTTCTGATCGGTAACTCTTCCTCTCTGTCGTGTCCAACGCACCAAACTGCCGCGATCCCAAGATAGCCCTCAACTACGGGCGAACACGTGCAAAACAAGACTGTTACTTAAATTAAAGACTAACTGCTGTGTCCCCACCCTTCGCAGAGGAACTGGAGGCAACCCGTAAACCCGCGACACCGGCATGCAATAAAATGGAAAGCCGAAACAAATCACCATGCACACACGTTGCTATCTTCACAAGACGACCTACACACGCCCAACGACAATCAAGAGCCACCGAAGGTGCGCAGCGTAGATTCAGAAGTAGACTCGTAATGACTGATGCGTAATAAACACTATTGGTAAAAGCCACATAGGCATTACATGCACTACAGTACATCCCCGACGAAACACGTCTGCGGTGCACGTCAGGACTCATCAACACAAATAACGAACATCCAGGTGTCGTCCCGTTGCTACACATTGCTACACAACCTCTTTTCTTTTTCACCGCCCGCAGTCTCCAAATCCCAAACGAGACATTGCGGTACACATATACTATGTATATCAACAAATCCCCCCGCACACACACGGACGGTCGGTCACGAAGAGAACTATTAATACCACCCATCCTCCCCTCTGTACTCCTCTGCCATGTGTCAACGCTTAAAAAACCAACGTCGTTGTAAAACAACTCCACCCAGTGTTTGCCTCTCCAAGACACCTACACCGCGTTCTAAAAGTGGTCACTGTCGCTTTCCCCTGCCACTACAACGGATTCGGGGCATCCTTCCCGCTGCTGTCTCGTCAATCGGCATCTTCGAGGCTCAGCTGGGCGAGCATCAAGTCGATCTCCTCGTGCTCCTCCGGCCTCACTCCCAACGACGTGTCGCACCCTTCCGACTCGCCCACGACACCCTGTCCTTCTTGTCCTCCACCGCCGTCAGCGGAAGCCTCCGCGACCCCCGCCGCCGCCGCCGCCGCCGCCGCGGCGGCCGTCGGCACGGTCGTTGGTGCAACGTTGGTGTCGCTACCGCCACCGCCGCCGCCGCTGCTACCCCCGTCGTTCCTGGAAACCTCTTCTACCAAGGAGGAACTCCCAGGGCTTCCAACGCCAGGCCCGTTCGAACCCCCTTCCTTCATGGCGATGCTTTTACCCGACGGCGGGGCTTCGGCCGGACTCTTCGCTGCCGCTGCTCGTGTTGTTTCCTTCGTTGCTGCTGGTCCCGTTGCTGGTGCTAGTGCTGGTGCTGGTGCTGGTGCTGGTGCTGGTGCTGGTGCTGGTGCGGCGGCGGCGCCTTGTCGAAGCGCATGGACGTGGGCGACGGCGCTGTCCGAGATGGCCTGCAGGTTGTAGCCGCCTTCCAGGATGGACACCACGCGCCCGCCGCACACCTGTTCGTTTTCACCGCCACCGCCACCGCCACCGATACCGTCACCGTCGCCGGTGTCGCAGACAGTAACCACGAACGATAGTCAGTATAAGAAGCACTTGTACAAGTACATGGCGAGAGAAGTAGCCGACGGTAACAACAAGGTGGACAAGTGGCAACGGCGAAATCCACCGCCAGAGAAAATCGTGGCCATGCATGTGTACATGGTGCTCAAGACGGGCGACACACGCCTAATGAAAGTGCAACGCTCTAACCGCGCGCTCAAGCACAAAGGGATCGCCTCTACCGCCGTGCTAACCCTCTTGCGGATCCCCCCCGCCCGCCGTCCCCGAACCCCGCCACGACCACAGCATGAAACGGTTACGCCAGGACGTCAGCAGGGAAAATAGAACGTCATAGAGAATCAACGAGACTGTAAAACGAACGTACCCTCTCTGCCACGTCGCAGATCCTCTCCGTGACCCAGCGGTAGTCGTCCTCGTCCAGCGTGATGCCCGCCAGGGGGTCGTCGACGTGGGCATCGAACCCTGAAACGAAACGGACAAAAGGGTGCGCGGACAGGAAAGCAAACGGGAGCGAAAGACAGCAGCAGGTTGCGGAAACAAAAAAAAATGCGAGCATGTACACAAGCGCTGGGAGGGGAGATGGAGGACGGGAGGGGGGCTCGAAGGAGCGAACGAAAAAAAAAAAAAAAACTTGGCAGGAACAAAAACACAGGACAACATAACCGGGTCACGATTGGAACATGGCCCGGTCATGACCCACGATCATGAGCTAACCCAAAAACGTAGCCCACTGCGCATCGTATGCAATTTGCTAGATGGGGTGCATGCCGCTCCGGTTTACACCCTCCAAGTCAAGGAGACGGTGTTGCAGGTGCCCTACTACATACCGCCCAATCGCTTACAAGCGTTTGCCGAACCGCTCGTATGTTGCAAGTAGTGTGGCCCACCCGAAAAAGTGTTGTGCTTCGCAGTCCACGCCATTGTTGCTTACCCCATCCCCATTCGCCCAAACAATGCCCAGCAACATGCGCGGGGCCAAGAAAGAGTTGCACATGATAGAACTTGGCGAGCGGAAGCTGACCTCGACAAGAGCTGGCACCGGCGCTCCCGCTTGCAGTACCGAGAAAGTCCGTTTGAGACCCTTAAAGGGCGGGGTGTCGCAAGCGGCAGCTATGACAGCCAATGCTAAAGGGGCCG